ATTGTTGTCTATAAAATTATTATTATATATTTATATTATTATTATTATTATTATTATTATTACTATTATTATGTGAACAATAGTTGCTGATATAATTTCTTATTTTCATACAGAAAAGATGTACCACTGTGTCCTCTTGATAGAGATGAGATTGAAGTGGATAAGGTAATTCATGTAACAATAATCAGGATTTAAAATTTCATCTATTGAGATTTTATATTGGTTATTTTTAGTCATTATTTGTCATTATTATTGTTGATTTAAAGAATTATTGCAACTGGTTTGTTTATACTAAGACTGGATACACCTCTATTAAGCTTGGCCATAATATTTTCCTATTTCAGACGACATTAGGGAGTTATCATTATTTAACGGGGGGGAGGGAGGGCCACTAAATTTGTGGGGAGGGCCATATTTTTTTGAATGTGTGTTTGGGGAGGGTTGCTTTTTTTTAATAATGGGTGTAGGGAGGGCCACAATTTTTTGACTTAAGAAAATGAAATGTTAATAAAATATTTTTTCCATCAGGATTTCTGGTATATATATTTTTGGGGAGGGTCATAATTTTTTATATCCTATTTAAGGGATATACATTTTTTTCATTGCCTTTCAAGGAAGGGCCTCTATTTTCTTGACAGGGTTCAATGCAAATTTGGTGGCCCTCCCCCCCCCCGATAAATAATGATAACTCCCTTAGACATTTTCTTGAGAATAAGATTCTTTGTTTGAGTTGTATCCAAATTCATTTGTCTTCTCATGTGCAACCGATAAACAAAGAAATGATACTATAAGGAACAACAGACGGTGTAAAAACATTACATCCAAGGTAAAGAGGTCAATCAAACTTCTCTCCCAAAGTCTATAAGAGCAAAGCTCTAATCATCAAATTAAATATACAAACTAATATTTTATTGAAAAATATCATTCTTATTTTGATCATCCTAAAATTACTTTAACTTACCATCGTTTTAGGATAACAGAGAAGTAAATATCTAAAAACCTTTAAACTAATAATAATAATCCCAATATATCTAGATTATGTAATTTAGGTACCGTAATTTACCTTCAAAATGGGAGATACTGAAGTCTAGGGCTTACACTGATAAAGCCTATGTCTACCATCCACTGTTAACATGTGGTAATGATCATCCCAGGACCTTGGGGAATTTTCAATAGATAAATCACTTAATCTGTGGAGCAAAACCAATAAAGAAATAATAACCAAGATGTTAAGAATTTTACATATCCACTTGATATTTTAAGGTGTAGTTCCAAAACTCCCCATGTATTTCTTTGGGAACACTTGCGACCTCTCACCTATAAGTTATAGCTTATATGATCTTTTTGTCAAGTCTTTGCATTCAAGCAGTCGTCATTTCAATTTCAAATAAGGGAAAACTGTGTTCTTTTATCCACCATAATCCCTTTTCTGGTTTAAGCCCTTTACTCTATTAATAACAGAATCAGGGACGGATCCAAGGGTGGTGAAGTGGGTGGCTAGACATCCCTATTTTGCTTAAATTTCTCAGTATTATCCTCAGTAAGCCACCTCCCCATTTCCTCGCATTCCTGTTAAAACCTTTGTAATAGTCACCCCTCCCCCCCCCTTTTCTAAAATTCCTGGATCCATCACTGTAGAATACAATGTGACCCTATTGGACACTATGGGACACACCCAGTCTACCTCTTATATCTACCACAGGAACCCCATCACAAATTTGAGGGTTAACTTGTTTTAATCAAAGTAAAGCAGACCATTTTAAATGGCTTGGGCAGAGTGTTTTTCAATTCTCTTAGTGATATGATTTTCTTTGTACGAGTCATATCCATATTAATTCATCCGGCTTCTTTTCATGTCAAATCATTAAACAAAGGGATTCAAATACTCAAGGGAATGAAAAGCGGTTTGAAAAGAGAAAACATTATGCCCAATTTAAAATAGAAATAACCAAAAATATTGCAACACTAAAGATTTACCTTTGTAGGTATTCACAGATCAAGCCTGTCACAGAGCAATACAGTCATTGATAGTGAAATGTTTGAATGCATCTGATGGCTGTGAATGGACTGGAGAGATACGAGATGCTTTAGTACGTAAAGACAATTACACAACTTTTCTCTTCGATTAATATTGATGGTTTTCAAGTCGGCCATGTTGAAGGACTTAAACAAAAGAATTATCAATGAATTCTTTTGTTATATTCTCCAACATGGCCACCGTGCCTTTTGTTATTTAATTCTCTTGGGAATAGTTGATAACCATAAATTAAGAAAAGCCAAAGGTCATGGGTTCAATTTCAAATGAGTCTGTAATTGGTTTCAGCGTCGGCAGTATTAGGCCGTATTCACTTACTTATTTTCTATCTTTTTCTGCTGTCGATACGACATTATCTATTCTTACTGTTTATACCGTCAGTCACACCTTTTTCCCGAAATCGGAGTGGCTATTCATCCGTCACCTGTACGGCGACTTGTATTTGACTTATATTTAATATTTTTCGCGATTATTACTCGTGCGGGGGTCGTCAGAAATTCTATTGCGTGACATTTACCTCCGTGACACTAACCTCTGACTACACGAAAAAAATTCCCAAGTCTCGCGAAAGTGAGTTGCTCGCTACTGAGTACAGACTGTCAAATAAGTTTGAATCAAAATAACATCACTGACATGAATCGCCTAACTGGTCTAAACAAAAATATCGTTATTAGGTTGGAAAAGAATGCAGAATTCCCGAGAAAATCGACGAAATTTTTGACTCCCGTACCAATAGCAAATACAAGTCGCCGTACGGGTGACGTACGAATAGCCACTCTTATTTACCAAATTTTACTAAAGTCGAATTAATCTTAATATTGAACATCTTAAAACTGATATTGTATCTAGATATTTTATCTGCGTAAATAAGGGAAATATCTCTTTCGGGCTAAAACTTCTACTTTCTAAAGATTTCCTACAGATTTCCTACAGAGATAAAATCTTGTCGAAGAGAATAAGCTTTAATCTTGGTCGTCTTCCTCGATGCAAAAATATGCAACTTCAAGCAGAGGAACTCAAATTTTCTTTTACTAATATCAAGATTAATACCTCAGAAACCTTCAATACCAGTGAACATTTCGTAGAAGTAGTTGTTTCCTACCTGTTTCTTCATTCTGTTGATAAATTTTCAAACTTTCAGCCATGATTCAACACTTGCATGCAAGTCATGAACTTAATTTACATATTGCGCAGTTTTGACGCGGGAACCTCCTGCGCAAACCACAGGGAGCCCACTTGCAATAAATTGAAATATGAAAATAAAATTTTAGAAAACGCCTCTTTTTAAATCTAAATATTGTAAAGTGTTTTCAGGCTGCATATCTAGATATAAGAATACTTACAAATGCTCGTTTTATTCCAGGAACATCAAAATGTGTGTCCCCACGAACGCGTCCAGTGCACAAATGAGAATTGCGAGGAAGTTTTACCGAGACAAGAAATTGAGAAACATTCACAAAATTCGTGTCAATGGCGAGGGGAAATATGCGAATATTGTAACGAGAAGTACTCCTTTTTTTTAGGAGAGGTAAGTGATGCTAAGATAGAGGTATTTGTCTCGTGAAACAAAAGAAAACAATTATAATAGTGTTTAATACTATGTATATGCTTACTACTTTGTCATGGTTCAAGCAAAATCTCACTTGAAGTTGTATGGCGTTCGGATCCAGGGCAATCGTGAGGGGAGTATCTCTAGAAAGGCAACATCGTCCATTTTATTCATTTTTTAAAATTTTAAGCTAAAAGTTGGTGGGGTGGGGGGGGGGGGCGTCTTTCACCCCTTTACTCTCCCTCTCCCCCTGAACCGTCGAAATTAATTATGTTTAAATAAATATTATTCATGGTATAAATAAATATAAAAATATAATTTAAGTATAATTTAAGTATAAAAGGACACTTGTATTATAGCGTCATTTACTACCATGACGCCTTCATGCAAACGGCCTATTTAATTTTCCTAACCGTATACACATCTCAGGAACACAAGTTACATTGTTCTCACCTCCCTATTGAATGTGTCAATGGATGTGACTACAAAGAAATCCCAAGACATGAGGTAACTATTATGGTATCATGTCACGTGATCAGCAGCCAATCAGAAAGCTTGGAGTAGATTTAACTAAAATTACTTTGGTTTTGAAATAGATGGCGAAACATATCGCTGATTTTTGTCCGCTTACTGTGGTTGAGTGCTCGTACTCCAAGGCAGGATGCAACATAAAGGTATGATTGACACGGACCACTTGGAATTTCAAGTCGCGATGCTCTTTGTGACCCAGAAGATCACACCATCAGTCTACACCCCGCGCCTTCGCGCACAACTTTGAATGTTCTTTAGAAGATAACTTTGTTCCTTACTCCCTCTGCAACCATTATGCAAGAACATTGATTCGCGGGAAGCGTCTAAGAAAACGAGTCGATCTCAAAAGTTGCAAATAATCAAGAGCTAAGGTTTTTTCTGCATCTTAAATTAATCAAGGAGTAATTCGTGTGTAGTTAGCATGTACTTTGCTTGATTATGTTTTCTGTATGCAGATGAAGCGCTCAGAACTCCCAAAACACCTTGACCTGACTGTTCAAACACACTTAGACCTGGCGTATTCCTGCTTAACTACCATGGAACATTGTTACAGAGAGCTAGCATCACACATGGAAAAGAACAAGGCATTATTTGAAGATATTCAAGATCGTCTGAGTGAGCTTGAGAGACAGCCTACAAAGTATGACGGGAGGTTCTTGTGGAAAATAAATAAGTATTCCCATCGTCTCGCGGAAGCAAAGAATGGTAGGAATGTTGATATCTACAGCGACCCGTTCTACACAGGACGATACGGCTATAAATTAAAATGCTGTGTAACATTGAATGGCGATGGGGACGCAAAGGACAAGTACATCTCAATATTTCTCATCATTATGCGAGGGAAATATGACGCACTGCTACCATGGCCATATTCCAATCGCATCAAATTTGTTCTCATTGACCAGAAACGTTACAAAACCCAAAGGAAAAACATCATTATGGATATAGTCCCCGACGTAACTCTGGAGGGATACCAGAGACCAAAGAGCGAGAGAAACCCTGGAGTTGGGATCTGGAAGTTTGCCGCACACGACGTGGTTGAGAATGAAGGATATGTTGTTGGTGATGAGATGTTCATAAAGTGTGAAGTGGAACCGTTTGATATTCTTCAGCACTCAACAGAGGGTACTGAAGACTATGAATAGCAATGTAACTATACTGCATGTTTATAGAAAAGGTCTATATTTAAGGAATATAAAACGAGCGCGCAAGTCTAGTCTCTGCACTGTCACTAGGACTCGCTAGGATCTGTAGAGCAAGATAGCGGAGCAAGCTTTCTTTTGCATGCTTTTCGAGTGCTCTAAAGCTCCCAGAGAGTTCGATTTTCAAATACAGAGACATATGCAAACGTTTTATATTACTTTTATAAAATACTTATTAACGACTTTGAGCGAGCGTGTCTCCGTTTTCTAAATATCAACACGGTAGCTAGCCAATCAGAGCAAGCGTTATATCTCAAATATTTTATCCAGCCAATCAGAGCGCGCGTAGTTCTCAAATATTTTATAAATGTAAATAACCGTTGGAGTATTTTTTGTCTACCTAAACATGCATGTCAATAGAACAGTTTGTTAAAATCTAAAATAAGGTCACCCGGTTATAACCTTAACATAAAGCTAAGATCGAATTGGAATTTAGCGATTTTGGTTTTGAGGAGGGAGAAGAACAAAGAAATAAATGAAAAAATCACAGCTGGTCTGAAGTGGAACCCAATCCCCGCACCTTAAATCTGACTAGAAACATTTTACTTCATTTGGGCATTTTATCACTAAAAGATAACAGAGTTATTCTTGACTACTTACCTCAAGTGCTCCTTAACACCGACTTTTCTTTGGTAATCTCTCAAGATCATTATCTTAATCATATATAACACCAGAGCTACTTCAGGGAGCTCGTCAATAGGTCACCATTATATATATGGAGTCTAATTAGAGTGATTTCATTCAATCCGTGAAGGAAATAGCTAGATATTAGTCTAATAGACGTTAGTAGACACCTAAGTGTTTTCTTTTGCTCAAAAATATTACTGGGTTTCAATCGGCTAATAAAAAGTCTTTGAATCTTATTACTTTCTCCAAATTCTTGGAGTGTAACCACATGGGTGGCGTCGGCGCTGTTAATGCGCAGCATCTTAATAAGTTTAATATCGAATGATGCAGTACGCCATTAACAACAGTAACCAGTGAATAGACCCCTTGCACGAGTCCCGGAGGAATTTTTCTGGGGGACAAAACGATGGATGTTTTTGCATAAGAAAAGATGGACTCTTGTTTTGTCCCCCAGAACCCAGAACAATTCCTCTAGGAATTCAATGCAAGGGGTCTATAAATTGAAAATTTAAGCACCGTATAAAAGCGCTTTAACTGTACTAATTTTCGGACGTCATTCGCCTTCTTCGTAGTGAAATAACGAAGGACTAACGTTCGTAATGACAGTAGAATTATAACATTGTTACACGATGGTTAAGTTTCCTTTTTGTATTCAACACACTCCCGCAGTCCAAACTAATTACCTCTAGTCATTATCAAATCTAATATATGCTGTTGTAGGCTGAGAATCGATTCTGTTTAGCTATACCACTTGTTTCCTAGTATTCTCCGTGCGAAATGGCCTTGGACGAATGAATGGTAACTGTGAGATTTAAAGAGAGAATATTAACTGTAAATGTGCGAGATAGTGCTATAAACAAATTAAGGCTTTTCCAAAATTGTATTTTTAAGGTCGTTTAGCCTGAAAATTCTTAAAAGATGTTTAAAAAAAGCCTAATAAAAAGCATAATTAAAAAACGCACTGTAAATCGTTTTTATTATTTTTCTTTTCTTATGTTTTTTTTTTTTWAAATTTAAATCTAAATACCTTTTCGAGTATACTATCTACTTTTCGATGAAAACTGAAGTAATCTTTTTCTCAAGATCAGCGTAGGGTTTTTGCCTTGCGCAATTTTTTTCCTCGGATAATTTGCCATTCAAAACTACTGTACTACCGAAATTAAAGATTAATTCGTCTTATTTCGTTCATACGTTAATTGAAATAATAATTGCACTCAGCCCACTCAAAATAAGTCCAAGAAACAGGCTTGCAATCTCTAAGATTCTTGCTAAATTACAGATGGAATCCGGGGATTCGAAACGATCTAGACATACAGTCCTCCAATGACGTGAATTGTAAGTAAGCTCATTTCGTGAAAATAAAGAGCCAATTCATAAAGATATTGGTGTTGAATGTATGATCCTTAGAAAGGTTTTTATTCTAGTACTATAATATTATGATATTTTACTAGTATTGACGATATTTTTAATATCCTAATACTAAGGGAGCGATCAGTCTATTGTATAACAAGAGATAACTAGCTAAAAACTAGTGTGAGCTGCGTCGGTGTTTCTAATGAAATAGTAGTAATGATAAATGGGTAAATTATACACCGTGGAAAGATGAAAAACTTACTGAATTTTCGGACGCTAGTCCTTCGTCGGAGGACTAGTGTCCGAAACGTCAGTAAGTGTTTTCATCTTTTCACGGTGTATGTGATTTACCTTTTTATCATTACTATTGTATAACAGCTTCGGCAGTTCAATAACTAAGATATTATTGGATATGCAGCTATTACAAGTCTTGCATTGCAATAAGTTTAATTATGATTATAAATGAAACGTTTTTTTGAGAAGCAATGTTTAGAAAATCGATTGAGCAAGTCTAATTTTTTAGCCGACTGTCGTATTTATAATCACCAAAAAAATGTTGTAAATTTTTTATATTTTGGTTACATTTGGCTTTCTGCATGAAAAAGTTTATATCAATCAACAAAAATACAGAAAATAATATCGTTATTTGTAGGAAAAAGCTATCGGCACTCTCTTATATTTAAACTTGGAATGCAAACGCTTTGAAGGACCGTTGAACTATATAAGATGGCAACTAAAGGCAAATTTGAAGCTTTAAAGTGCTACTTAACTTGTATAATTAAGGGCTGTCTTGCTTTTAAACAATAGCTTTCAGAAAAACCCTTCAAAATGTTATGTTTATGGTTGCCTAACTTAAAGTATATTCCCATTACAGCTCAATTTTGGGGACAAAATATCAAAATCTTAGAGTTCTAAGGACTGAAATACCATATATTATCTTCGAAATGAACTGGCATGAAGAGGTTTTCGTTTCCGACCTAAAGAAGACAAGACAGACTCGCGCAGATTTTCGTGCCGTGATCCAAAAATTCCAAACGCCAATTTTTTGCGTTTGAAAAAGCCAAGCCGACTACGGAACAGCAAAATATTCTATTTAATGTTCCCAAAGATCAAATATTTTTAAAAAGCTCTTTTAATAGATTATTTTCGCTTACTTTAAAGTTCAGTTGCCGCACTTCCTCTGGAACGTGGACTCCTATTGGTAGAGATTGGCATTGTTGGCCGGTATTGGTCGGTACTGGCCGATATATAAAGGCCTGTGAAGTATCTTTCGTTCCATAACTGTCTGCTTGACCCCATTGGAGATGACGAACATTCTCTTCGCTTTCGTTTTTGTGGGTGCACTTTGCAATTCAGGTAAAGTAATATCACATGTCTCTCATTGCCTTTCTGACAAGCTATGAAAGATTTGAATTGATGTGAATATGTACGTTAGTATAGGCGCAAAGCTTTGGAGTTCGATTCATCTTGCAATTAGTGAAAGTCTATAAACGACTCAGAAACCTCAGGCAAGCCAGCGAATTATCCAAAAAACAATTACGACAAAAGGCAAAGAAAAAAAAGAAAGAACATCTTTAAGGAACGTTTTTTCATGCTTCCAGAGGGATAAGTTTTGATAGTTTAAATATATGAGCTAGTCATATGGGCAGATAGAAGGTGAAGGTGGTTTTCTAACTTTAAACTTGGAAGATAAAAATCCCTTTTTGCTTAAATCATTTAATGATTTGTTCGATTTTGATGCTTCAAAGTAAACATCTACGTATTTTGATTGGGAAAATTTCTTTCGCCTTGTTTCTAAAAGTCGACGTTATTGCTTTGGGAATTAATCATTTTGCAATCGATTTCTTTCTTCTCTTTTTCTTTTGATTTATTTTCTTATCTTTCACTCATTCTTGCTTCCTTGCTTCCTTGCTTCCTTGCTTCCTTGCTTCCTTGCTTCCTTGCTTCCTCCTTCCCTTCCCTTCCCTTTCCTTTTCATATAACTCAGTTTCAGTGATACTGGTTCTGAATTTAGACACCAAAATCTCTTGAACAAGGAGGTATTGTTTCGTCTCTTCTCTTTTTCTTAATTTTATCATGCAACATTTCGCTCGTAAAAGAAGCCTTTTCGTTTTGCCAGGAAACAAGCTCTCCTGACGCTATTAGTGCGTCGTTGTCCCTAGCCCTGTTTTGTTTAAGACATTTCCCCCTATTTGCTCTAAATGTTATTATCGACATTTTTGCACATAAAAGAAACCCTTTCTTTTTGCCAG